GCAGCCAGTTGCACGCGCTCAGTTTCTGCGAGCTTATTTACGAAGTGTCTAGATCATCAAATCCGCTAAAAACTTGTACACAGGGATTAATTAACATGCTGATTACGAAAGACACTCATTCTTGGCGATTAAGCTAATGGAGAACACTACGATTATCTTCTGGGCTCATCACCCCCGCGAAGCGCAGATAAGTATAGTGTCCTCCATTAGCGCCAGCGCCAAGAATGAGTGTCGTACTCGTAATCAGGAATGTTCAACAACCCGTATATAGATTTCCAGTGGATCAGGTGTTTCTTGCACCTCATAAATGAGCTCGCAGACAAAATTGAGCGCGTTGCAAACGGCATTAGCCGTACGAGGCCCGCGAAAAACGCGGAGATAACGGGCTGGAGAGTAGCGACGTCTTGTGCTCGAGACTTCGCTCGCCCATCCACACAACCAAGAGCCGAACATGCTACTTGTGCCTGTGTGTGTGAGCCCTCTTACGTGGTTTCTTTCTAATTCTGACTTGATGTGGTCTCCGAAATTTCGGTGGCGACGCGAGTTGAGAGTAGCGTGGGCGCAGTCTTCAAAATGCACTCCAGGTATTTCTATCTTTCAACTTAATTCCGCGCGCTCTCGAGTGACAAAAGTGTTACACTCATACAGCTGCCAGCTATCCCTTGTAGCACATGAGAGAGACTGTTATCAGAGGTGAACCTTAATATGGCCGAATATTTACACTCAACTACTTACCATGTGGAATCCCCTAGTTTTTTCACGATGGATTACGGATACTAAGAGGTTTGGAGCCGAAACAGGAGTTCCTTCATGCGTGCCCGAGAGTGCATGCAAAGCTTCTTTCTCGGCCACTCGTGCACTCCCGAGAAAGCATGCTATTTTCTACCGTTGCCCGAGTTTTGTTCATTTTCACAAAGAAATATATAGAGAGTTGATATTGCAAACATTCATTTGAATTCAACAAATCACAGGACGGTCAGGTTGACTATGGACACAGGCGTACAAGCGTGCGTCGCTCCGTGAGTTATTGCTAAAGATCTGTAACACCCAACACATCTTCTGCATGGCTCCTTTCCTGTATTTTCAAGCGCACAAACAACATTTCCTGCAATCAGGCGGTATCCATCGATAGAATTCCTGCCAGGTAGCCTTCACAGCGCAACTAGTTCGACCGCTCCCGTCGCTAGAAGAAAATTCACATTCATTGTTCCTTCTGATCAACCGTTACCCACTTCACGTGTCTTCTGGATACCATCGAACACGGATACGATCTCCTGAATTCGCAAGAAGGGTGAGTTGAATTAATGGGGAGAAGGCCGTTTGTTTTCCGTATTCAAGGTAAATTTCACACTGTTTCTCCCATTCATTGCCTGAAACCACACATGTTTTCACAGAAGCTACATATTCGCTGCTTCCCAGCTGACTTCGCATGGAAAATTCAATTTCTTTGACGAGTTTCTTTTCATTTTTTTTCTCCAGACTCTTCTTTCTCGTATTCTTTCCCTCTAGTTGCTACTAGGGGGGGGTCAGGTTCTGAACTTTTTTAGCGGGGAATTATCGGCTGCGAACGTCAAATGTACAGCTTTTTGAAATCAAAATTGGTGGACTCAAATTGAAAAGGAGTATCCAACGATTGCACTTCGAAGCATCAGTTCAAACAATGGAAAAAGGAACAAAAAGAAACCGAAGAACTGAATCTCCTGCGCGAATTATGTTAGGGATGCATCAGCAAACGTGACACTTTGCAGAAACATGTGTGGAGTTGAACAATGACAAGGAAAAACAATACGAAACTCACCCCAGATGGAGCTTTCATGAGCTATATTCTCTGCTCATATTGAGAAAAAAAGGCCACTCTTTATTCAGCTCACTCTTTTCTTGATAAGATCTTGGGTGTGAAGTTGCCAACCCTTAGAAAAAGGCTGGATAATTGTGATCTACCTCAAGCAGACGAAGCGAGCCGTCTGGTAGCGCTGGGGTGCGCTCGGACGCAAACCCGCGATCGCGACATTGACACGATAGTGGGTGCAATCGCGAAGTATGAACGCTGCCTCCTGAACTCAATGATGCGTCAGTTGCAGTTCCTGCGTTGCTTCACAAATATCCTTGCATTCGTCACCGTACATTGGCAGACAAGGTGGAGAAAAAGTTGCGAGTGCCATTCACACGTGCTTCTTTAAAGGGGACGGTAGGTGGCGAGCTAGTCGGGCAAGATAATGAAGATTATACCCGCATTGCAATCGTGAGTTTTCAACGGAATAGCGTCCGAATGGGTTGAATCGATGCATTGTGTTCAGTGGCGTTCTACTCTGTAGTCACTAATGCTGTCACTAGTACGGGTGCGTGATCGGACTACCCAAAAAAAACTCAGAGCATTTCAGTGCGGAAAAGACATCCAATCAATACTATTGGAAGAAACGTTGATAGGTTTCTAAAGACAGAGTGTACTCAGCTCCGAGGACGGTCCTTGTATGGGCGAGAAGAACGGCTGGACAGCTGTACAGAAGTAACACTTCCGTTACTTAAGATTGTACGGAAATGAAGTTGGGGGTGATGGTACCGGTACCTTTCCGATCTCCCTCGCGCTACCCTCAAGCGGTTGCACTTGCGTCAACACCAAAATCTTGAAGCGAAGGCGCGGACAGGGGTAGAGAAAACGCAAGTCAGAGAGCTCAGACGACTCGCGCGTCTATCCATGGCGAGGCGAGTGGCGCGTCTATCCATGGCGAGGCGAGTGGTTGGTCGAGTGGCAGCACAGACAGAGTCTAAAAAATTGCAACCCTGCAGTATTGCCCTCCATCCTCGTACATTTTGAGCAAAAAAAATGGTGCGCTACTGCAACTGCAGACCGATTCATCTCGCACATGGCACAGACGATGAACCCACGAAGTTGCCTCTAATTCGCTTCTAAGTCGTGGGTAGGTGAACAGTTGCAGATGTCTGGGAACTTTACTTCCATCCCAAATTCAATTCAACTTTTCATCATTGACGCAGAATACGGCAACCATTTGGATGAATGTTCTTGGGTTTGGCTCCAACATGAAGTGACACAATCGTTGAGCAACATAATATTGAAAACTCCACAGAGACACAGGTTGCAAGCAAAAAAAATATGACAGATAGAAGTGGATGAAAGATGAAGCCAATGCGTGGAGCTGAGTAGCAAAACACACGGCTGTATTGCTACTGTAGGTTAAACTTACATGTCGGGTTCGTAAACCAACAGGATTTCCACGGCGAACATACTGTATGAGAGAGTCGTTAAGACATTCACATTCTTCTATTACATTAACAGGGGGTGGGAGGAGTCTTCTAGATCGTGGAGCCCGTTCTGAGAATGATATGTAGCATGTTATAGAGGTACATGCGAGGACTTCAAAAAAGCAGTTCATCTTCGCCGAGCGCTTCTGGGAAGGCAAAGTTGGGGCGAAAAACTGTTCTACGAGTTCACGACGGAATTGGCAATAGGAAGTTCTTCTATTTTTTGGGCGAAGTATTCAAAAATGTTTCTCGACATGTTTGTGTTCAGACAAAAAGATAAAAATGTAAGTCCGGAAAGGCAGGCGGTATGGAGAAGCTGCGCGTGAGAATAAAAAAAAATGGGCTTCACAACCTGAGGGATCTGCTTTGTGAGTGACATGAAACGGTTAACGAGGCACATTTGAAGTCAAGCAAAGTGCTACCTACATCTATTCCTTGACGAAACAGACGCTCCTCGGCTCACCTTTCGTTTTTTAAAGAAAAAACACCCTTTCACAAAAAGATAAACAAATACAAAGAACATAGGACAACAACCTTCGCAGCAGCTCTTAGTTTGCGTCGATCCTTCGCGCGCATGATCTGAACAAAACTGAAAATGACGAACAACACAGAACATAGGTGCCACTCCTGGACATTAGCACAACATTAAAACAGATACCGAACATCACAAACCGACAAGCAAAACACATATAAACCCTCTTTGTGTAACGGTGAGCGCTTGGCTTTTCGTGCTCTATATGAAATTCTAACAGCTTTAGCTTCTACAGGTCTATAAACACTACAGTTCACAGACATCGAATTGCGACCAACTGAAGGTTGACTAGCGACTAAAGAGCGAATGCTAGGACTATACGGGTGAAATGCGGTGAAATAGTAAAGCGTAAGAGTAATACGGTATGGCTGAAAAGATTGGCGCGGGCGTGAACGTACTTTTTCTAAGCATTCATTTTTTGTTGGGGCTATAAAACGGATCGCAAATAATAAGTTCTACAGGGAATATCGTAGTTATGCGTTCGTAGCTTTGATGCAAGTATTCAAATGCGCGATGATGGAATCAAGGCCGAGCCTCAAGCAGTTCGTGCGCCACAAATAGTTCTCGTCAATATGTGTCCTGAGTGATGATCTTCTTCTCCAACTTCTGTAATTCGTATTCTGGATCTGAGAAAGAAATACAAAGCTGGTTGCTACGTAAAAGGGGATTTCCGAAGTGAGTCTTCGTTGACTTCAATCAAAGCGGCTCTCATTTCCATGTTAGGGCCATTCAGTGGCTGATATGCTTTCAGTTACGGCTTTTGTAGAGACCTCCTCTTCCTCTTTTGTGAACATTGAAAGTCTTCTGAGTTGAGATTATTAAGAGACTATCGTTTCGTACGACTCCAACACATCCTCCACGTTGTATAGTAGCTTCTGAGTCTGTGGAAGTGAACTCAACTGATAGCTTTATTGGTAACGATCGTAATCTGTCAGACTCGACCAATATTTAAATAACTGAAACTTGTAACACTAAGGCTGATTACGGTTGCGACTGAAGCAGCTCTTTTATACGTGCTCACAATCAGAGAGGGGGGGGAAACGGAAGTGGTGGGCGATCTCTCTCGCGGTTTCGATTCTCTCGACCGCAGGTGGATCCCTCTCTGATGGCGGGAAACACGCATCGACTCTTTAAAATGCCAACCCTCCACAATACATTAGCCACAAGAACCAATCAAACCATGAAAAGTCTCCATGACGTCTTTTGATCATGCCTTGACCTTTGCACAATCGGCACGAATGAGATCCTGAAGAGCCTTTAACGATATTTTGAGGAACTCCGTGAACGATCCACAGACCACGCCTATCCGAATTGGACGTTGACAGCTGTCCAGTTTCTTGCAAGTTCTTCAAGACAACGAAACGAGTCGTCTGGATGTTGACTCCTCGTCGGTCGCCAGCCTCCTTCTTCCGTCATCCTTGCCTTCCGTTCTACTGGCAGATGTTCTAGGCAGTCTAATAGGGAAGGTTCCATGAGAAGCAGATGTTTACGGCAGTCTAAGGCGGCGTTATACTTTTGCGCACGCGTAGCGTAGCGTAGCGCAGCGTAGCGTAGCGCTTCCAGCGTACGCCAGCGGCAATGCCGAAGAGAGGATGCATATCGATCTAGCTTCACCAGCGTCACCAGCGGCACGCTGGCGTACGCTAGCGGCACGCTAGCGTACGCCAGCGTTTCTCCAGCGTTTCACCAGCGTTTTGCTAGCGTTTGCAGCGGCAGGGGAGTAGAGACTATGGGAGAGCTGGAGGGTACAAAACACATCGATTGCGCGTCTCTCACTCGCCCTTAGTCTCTACAATGCACATCGCTTCTGCGTCTCCGACGGCCACATAGTCTCTACAATGCACATCGCTTCTGCGTCTTCGACGGCACATAGTCTCTACAATGCACATCGCTTCTGCGTCTCCGACGGCCATAGTCTCTACAATGCACATCGCTTCTGCGTCTCCGACGGGCACATAGTCTCTACTCCCTGCCGCTGCAAGCGCTAGCAAAACGCTGGTGAAACGCTGGAGAAACGCTGCGTACGCTAGCGTGCCGCTAGCGTACGCCAGCGTGCCGCTGGTGACGCTGGTGAAGCTAGATCGATATGCATCCTCTCTTCGGCACTGCCGCTGGCGTACGCTGGAAGCGCTACGCTACGCTGCGCTGCGCTACGCTACGCTACGCTGCCGCAAAGTATAAACGCAGCCTAATAGGGGAGGCTCATATGGGAAGAAGAATTACGGAGGTCTGCCAACTGCCGCGCCCCTAGTTTTGGAAAAAAGTTTTTTATATACGAACGTCCCACGACGGACACACGGTCGCACAGCAGCTCTTATAGAAATTAGAAATGGAACACATCGTTTGAAGGCATGTTGAAATGTTAGAAAGGTGAGTCTTGATTTTGCTTTGATGCAGAAAATTAGCGCGGAAATTCGCGCCAATACTTCCCAGCCATCTCGTAGTAGACTAACCTTAAGCGGAATACTCTGATGTACTCACCGTGTGCAGGATAGCGGACACTTGACCCATATTGAAAATCTTTTCAATAATTGCGTCTTGTGACATTTCGCTTTTCCCTCTCATTTGACTCTTGCCGATCTTTCTATACAGCGAGAGCTGCCAGGCATTTTTGTCGGTTGGATCGGTCTAAAAAGAAAATTAACAACGATATTGATTCGACAAGGCAGTGGGTACGGGAGTTTGGCTAACGTACAGTACCCGCCGTAAGTGTTCAAAAAATTACGAAAAAAACGCCGATCCGCGTTTTTTTCGTTTTTCCGTTATAGAGCTGTTCCTGTTGAATTTTTGTATGGATACCCATATATGGCTAGAATCAGCTCGTCGAGCTGTATCCGAGGGTATGCTCATATTCTACGACGTTTGGTTTTGGCCGGCGCCATTTGGCGCCACTTTGCGACACCTTAGCGCCACAACTTTTCTCAACAACATCTGTATAAACTTGCTTACTGGGGCTATTCAGTGCCCTGTTCACGAAAGTGACATTCATTTCTAGCCGTGGCGCCATTTGGCGCCATTAGGTGCCGATTTGGCGCCACTAGCGCCACATTGGCGACACGACCTTTCCCAAAAAATCTGTATAAACTTGCATAAATGGGGTTTCTCGGTGCCCTGATCACGAATGTAACATTCATTCCTAGCCATGGCGCCGTTCGGTGCCATTTGGTGCCAATTTGGCGCCATTACTTTTTTCACCAAAATCTTTATGAACTCGCAGCCTGGTTTCTGGAATGGTCACGTGATCGTCATTTGCAGAGCATACATAAATCACGTGAGCTTGCGGCGCTGGCGGCGCTGTGCTCACCATAGCCGCTTGTTCACGTGATTACTGTATGTCTTGTTCACATTCACGTGACCATTATAACACATACAGTCTGAGCCGACCAAGGCATCGCGCCAAATTGGCACGCAATAGCGCCAAATGGCGCCATGACTGGAAATGAATGTTACTTTCGTGATCAGGGCACCGAGAAACCCCATTATGCAAGTTTATACAGATTTTTTGGGAAAGGTCGTGTCGCCAAAGTGGCGCTAGTGGCGCCAAATCGGCACCTAATGGCGCCAAATGGCGCCACGGCTAGAAATGAATGTCACTTTCGTGAACAGGGCACTGAATAGCCCCAGTAAGCAAGTTTATACAGATTGTTGAGAAAAGTTTGTGGCGCTAAGGTGTCGCAAAGTGGCGCCAAATGGCGGCCGGCCAAATTCCTAACCGTCGTAGCTGACGGAGGTATGTAGCATACCCTTCGGAAAAAAAATACAAGCTCGACGACTATGTCCAACCATATCATGGGTATCCCATACCAAATTCACCAGGAACAGACTCTATAACGAAAAAAACCGAAAAACCGCGGAATCGGCGTTTTTTCTAATTGTTAATTATTTGAACACTTACGGCGGGTACTGTATAAGATAAATTTCTCTACTAAGAAGTTAAAGCAGGTCATTCGCTGTGCAGGCAATGTATGAATGCTTTACAGCGGCATTTTCACGCTCAAAGTGACTTAGCGGAGCCTAGCCGTCCTTCAACTCCGAATATCTTTTGTCTTGCCCAAATGTCCCCACACAGTAAGTGATTCCCTCTGCGCGGAATAGAGCGTGTTCCCCGATCAGGGATAGCGTAAAACAACTAATTGATGCCTATGCCAGTTCTTCGAATTCGAACGACTAGTCAACTTGTAAGTTAGAGTACCCACTGCCATCATTTAGAAGCATTTTTCACACGACTGAGATGTAAAACCGGTAACCCGATTGAATGAAATAAAAAAAGGGTAGAGAATCGCCTCACACGAATGAACGGACCTTGATAGGAATTTCAAGCAATCCTTTGATGAATTCCCGTATTTTGTCTTCGTTTTCCTTCTGCAGGAATCGGTCTTTGGATTGTTGTACAATATCCAATTCTCTGAAGAGGAAGATATAAAAAAACAGCAATGAATTTTAAAAAAGAAATGTTACTTCCAGCAAGGCATGTTACAGCCCCATGGCAACATGGCAGAAATTCGAAAATTGTAGCTTGTAAGCAAAATTTGTGATAGGGATAAATTTTTTGGCAGGTTCGAAATAGGAAACGGCCACTTTGGAACTTTCCAGCTTTTTTTCCAGCTTTTTATTACTCAGTTGCTCCACTTTATCAATTAATTCAGGCACGGCCTAGGCGAGGGCCTTTTGTACTTTCGCTACTTCTTGTTGAACATAGTCTTGTTAAATTACCCTGATGAGACTTGTAAACTCGTGTCAACTGTGAACGGAACCCTTGTCACTGCATAGATTTACAAGAGTTTGCAGGTCTCCGCAATGATCCAGGAAATCACAAAATGCCCCCACTAAGCCGAATCGCGCCATTGCTTATGCATTCACAAAAACTGGTTCTTATCGCACAGAAGAAAATAGTCTTGTAGTCTTTTTTCCTCATCTGAGAGCCCGTGCGAGATGGTGGACGACCTATGCCCTGCCTGACCTCACCCACCCCTCCCCTAGTACACTGTAGCGGCCAAAGTTATACGCGATATTGGTTTTTTCGATCATAATTTTGATCATTATTCTAATCTAATGTTTTTATAGATTTCCTCCGTATTCAGGCACTGAAGGAATCGCGGGAGGGCGTGTAGGCAAGCGGTGTCACAGCGCAGGCGAGTTTGCAGCTGACTAGTTGGCTCGACGTTAAAGTGTTCCAGGGTATACGCTATAGCCCGGGGAGGAGGTGTGGCTTCATTTGAACATTTCAATACTTCATTTGAACCGTGAAGGAGGTCACGTTTCTGATGGGATATCGCCATTTTGAAACGGCCGATAACTTCAGTTATCTCTCACGAGAGTCACATCTTACGCTTCTGAAATTCGGGATATGAACTGTATGTGCCAATTACCAGCAAGCTCAGCTAGTTTGAAAATCCAGTGACTCCTCCTGCCACAGCTCTCTACATGTCATGAGGCTGACCCCACTTATGGGTGGAACGAAAAGTAAACAAATTCGTGATGAAAGAGCAAAATAAGAACGGATGCAGTTCCTTACCGTCCTCCGAAGACGTTCAGGCCGACCGGTAGAAGCCTCTTCACGCATGCGATGACAATACTATTTGCGTGCTTATCTTTTTTCACCTGGAATATGTGTAGTCGTTCATAAAAAAGGATCAAACTATTGGTTAGACTAATGCTTGAAACGACTGGCACAACCACAATATGACTGCATGAAACCCACCGGACACTTTGAATCTCTTGCATCGCGCATCTTATCGAGCTGACAGCGAAATATTAATAAAAGGAAAACAAAGGGACTCCTATTTGTAGAGTATAAAGAGAGAGAAGCAGGTATGAAGAAAATTGGGCGTTAACGTAGCTGAGAGGGGGAGGACCATTTGCCAGCGTGTCCATATCCCTTCCTAGAGCTTTGGCAACGTTCAGACTTCGCGACGACGCGCGTCGACGCGCTGTAACGCGCTGTAATGTACAATCGCAACAGCGCTCCAATGCTACAGAAGCGAGCGCAGCCGCAGACGTGAATCGGTAGGCGCCGGTCGCTCGTGTAGTGTGAGAGCACACGATCAAAGGAGGGTAGACGCCTCCTTGACAACAATCTGGTACTGTTCAACCCTTCTATACTTTCCCAAGTCCTAGCGGCCAGTGCCGATCGATACCAGGCAACGCCTGTTGTAATAGTAGTGGTCGACGCGCCTCTTCGCAAAGTCTGAACGCTGTCTTAGGCTTAGTGATAACACTGATCGTCTGCGCTGTAACTCTTTTTGGGGGAAAGACACAGAGGAGTCGTCAAAAGGTACGCTGCTCCCCCCCCCCCAACTTCAATGATCCAGAAAATCCTCATAAAAATTGATCAGAAGCAGATTGCTCGATGGACCGAATGGGTGGCAGACTTGCACCGACTCTGTGTCCATCATTGGCAAGCTGGGTAACTGTGTCAATATCCCGTTACGGTAAACGGCTCTATTCGGCAAAGTGCTTCTTAGCCGGTTGACTTGACAAGTTGCAGCACTCTGCTTCGAAACAATTAGCCCCTAGTGGTAATGCCACCAGATGCCATACATAATGGCAGCTAACTGCACTACGCATTTTAGAGGTATTGCCCATCATGGAACCTCAAATGCGAGGTATTGCCCATCAACTTGGACCACTCATAATCTAATGCAAAGGACCGCCCCGGGCTAGGTGGACCACTCACATTTGGAACTGATTGTATGTCGACCAAAAGTTACAACTACGCACCTCCTCGTCCAAGGGAAATAGCCCCCAAATAGTTCAATTACAGCAGAGTATAGACATGCAACTAACTGTTTAACGCGCAGATTGAATGTATTGATTTTTGCCTAGACTGTAACCTTCTCTTCTTTTCTTTTTCGTTCCGCAATTCGCAGGCTTTACCGGTTTTTCATTCGCGCCGGCCTCAACCATTGCTGCCATCTATTCGAACTGTGCCATATAATTCAGTTCTTCACGCTGAAAAATAAATAATCACGAAATCTCTGTCATGTCTCAGAATGACTGGAGAAAAAGAAAATGATTGAACTTAAGCAATCCTAGCAACTGGTAGATGTTTCTACATTTTAGAAGGTTGCTTTTGCCTTTTAAAATCTCCTGAAACTAGCACGCAAATGAACAATCAGAAAAGTGATGCGCTCTACAGGTAAATGAAAGAAGCGGTGAGGAAAGCCATTATTGCTATTAGCAGTTGTCCGGAAAGTTCTTAGCGTTTTGGGTGTTTCACTTTAAAGCGATCGTAACTTTCTTAATACTCATCGGATTTAATCGAAATAGGCACCATTCGAATCAGCACACTTTTGCCAATGTGACAGCAGTCGAGAAATCCCATAAAAGGAAAAACTGGGTGGTCGAGAATCCACGAAATCTACGAAGGTCTTTTTTGCCTGGTCTTAATTGAAGAAGTATTTTTCAGCAAGGAAGTTCTGAAAATGTCTGAAAAGGTGACAGTCGTGAAAGGTCTGGAGAATATGGTGGGTGAGGTAGAACTTCAACCCTCAATTGTCAATTTATGGAATTAGTTGATTGATGAAACGTGCTGAGGGGGTTGTCATGCAAAAGAATCGGACCCTTTCTTTTGATAAGTGTTGGCTGCAGCTGACAATATTTTCGGTACATTGGTCGGTTTGTTCACAGTAGGGTTCTGCTGTGATGGTTTGGCCTGGCGATAAAAAGTTATAGTGGATTACAACAGCCGATGACCACCAAACCTGACCAGAATTTTTTCGTGAGGGTTCGGCTTTGAAATTACCTCGGTGGTTCCTCCAAATCCAACCACTGTCCGGAACGTCTCCTGTTATCATACATGATCCATTTTTCATCACAGGTGACAAATCCGTTCAAAAACGGGTCAATTCTTTTGCGCAAAAGCAGCGAAGAAGGAACCTCGAGACGTGCCGATTCCTGCCGGTCACTCCGATTGTGGGGCACCTAATTGTCGGGTTTTCACCTTCCCCAATTGCCGTTCTCAAAAACAATTCTACAACACTGGATTTGCCAACGCCTAGCTTTTCTGCAATCTCTCGAACTGTTTGGGATGGGTCAGCCTTCAAATCTCCTCTAAAATCCTCGTCAGATATTGCTTTAGGTCGACCGCTATGAGGTTCATCTTCAATGCTGAAATCTCCTGAACGAACTTTGTTGAGCCATTGCAGCACAGTGCTTTCTCAAGCACTATTGGGCCCCCACACCTGGTTAATTTGCTGAGCTGTTTCGGTTGCGGATTGCCCCGATAACTTTATCGTGCGACAGAAACAAAATCCGTCGACAGCTGCTCTTTGTCACTGTTTTGAAAGAATCTTCTTGGAAACGAAGGGGGAGTTCAATAAGCAATGGTGAAACGGCAATTATACCATCAGATAGCGCAAGAAATTCTCTACAGGATTGGCTACTGAGAAGCAAGGCAGAAAGAGTTTTTAAACAGCAGTGAATGTACAAAAAATAGGTGCACAAAACGCTAAGAACTTTCCGGACAACCTAATAGGATCACCACGCCGTAAGAGCTATCGCAGAACGTCTTTTTTCTTGTTGCGACCTAGTACAGCGGCGACAGTGTGGCTTTCACGTATCCGATCAAAGCACCCACCTTGAAATGCTGACTCTGACTCCATATGCGGAAAATCACTGCGACATTTTCGTAAACGCCGTCTGTCTCCCACGACGGCGCCTGGAACAACCCGAAAATTGAGGCGGTTTCGGAATACAAACTGAGCAATAATGATAAAGTAATCAGTAAAGGACGCAGTTCGGCCAGTGTGGGCATTTTTCTGATTCCTGTGGAAACTGCAAATTTATGCAAAGCTACGCAGTTAGCTGTAAACATTTGACAAGGGTCTGCAGCTCTCACCTAAATGAGCCGTTTAATTTTTTGAACTAACGAAAGTGCAAGTTGTCCCCCTCCCTAGCCGAACAGCGCCTGGGCAAGTTGTAAAGTGAATAGACATGAATCAACAGAACCTTCAACCATTGAGCACGATGCAAGTCAGTGTATTTCATGAGTATCGGGAAGTAGGCGTAGGTGTCACGAACTAGACGAGCATTATCCTGAAATCCATTATGATGCACATATGTTATGGGGGTTGCTCGTCTGATTTCTCGACGCTACACATCTTTTACTGAAAATTTCACTTGACTCGGGACTGGGTAGGCCGAGATAGTTGTTCAGAGGGTACCAGCCCTTGGACCCAAATGCAAGTCCCTCTCTATTATATATGGTGTACATGACCGTGATGGGTAGAACGGCCGGATGGCCTTGCCAGTACAACCTTCTCCGAAGCTCATCCCTCCTGCACAAACCATCCTCATCCCTCCTTTCCGATGCCGTTTACCGTCTCCACAAACAGGATATATGAGGCAGGAAAAATCGAGGACTGTCTAGAACTAGAAAAAACCCCCCATCGAGCAAACATGAGTCCCCCTTCAAATACGACCCCTCTTTCAACCATGCTGTAAAGCATCGCGATGGGTGAGACGGCCCAGTCAGTACGACTGAACCGTCTTGTATGCCCCCCCCTTCCCATGTCACCTATGTTTTCGGAGGTCATACTGGCTTGGTCATCTCACCCATCGCGAAGCTGTACGTGCTCTCCGACGCCAAGAGCCACACAACGGGACCACTGGTAACCACCAGATACCAAATAAAGGTATAGTTCAGTGGGAAGGAGGAGATTAGGACGTCGTCGAGACGTATTGAGGCTATCAAAAT